CCCAGGTGTCCAGGGGGGGGACCCAGGTGTCCGGGGGGGGGACCCAGGTGTCCGGGGGGGGACGCAGGCCTCTGGGCCACCTACCCTTGGCCGCCGGCGTCAAGAAGCTCTGGGTGGGCTCCAGGAAGAGGTCGAGATCTTCTGTGGGGTGGGAAGGACCTTGAGAAAGGACCCGGGTGTCCACGCGGGGGGGGACCCAGGTGACCAGGGCGCCCCCACTTACCCTCGGTGTCCCTGTCACTCCCGGAGGCCAAATTTGGGTCCACGTGTGGGGATTTGGGGGTGGAAACATCTGGCGGCACAGCTGGATCCCTGCCCCTCGCTGAGGGCTCCCCGCTGCATTGCTGGCACCCAACATCTGGATTCGGGGCCTCCACATCTGGATTTGGGGCTAAATCGCAGCGGTTTGGGACCATTCCTTCCACACTCGTGTCACCCTCAGTTTTTAAGAGAAAGCCCTGCCTTTTTCGGGACAATTTCCAGTGTTTTGGGTCCATCTTCTCCACGGCAGCGTCACTGCCTGTTTCAACATCTGGATGGGGATGATTTTGGAAGCGGAGGTGGCTCCGCAGGCTCCGAACATCTGGAGTGGGGGCCACCTCCTCCACGTCGGTGTCGCTGCTGCTCCGGGGGCTTGTGGGAGAGGGAACATCTGGATTTGGGGGTGTCATCGCCACATCTGGCTCACCAGATGCCCTTTGACATCTTTGCACTGTCCCAACATCTGGAAGGACAACATTGTCCTCAACATCTCTATCGCTGTCCACACCCAGGACCAGGCACTGGGCTTTGGGAGCTCCAACATCTGGAGCTGGGAACGTCACCTTCACATCTGGATCATCCTTGGTCCGCATCGGCCCCTTGGGATCAACATCTGGAGCAGTGGCCACCTGAGCAACTGTATCCATGCCCTCATGGCCTGTCCCACATGGGTTTGGAGGTCCAACGTTGGGAAGGGCATTGAGGTCCTCCACACCTGTATCGCTGTCACCATTGGAGGCCACCGAGCCATGGCTGAGGCCACCAACATCTGGATTCGGAGTCTCCATCACCACAGTTGGGTCCTTCCGGGTGTTTTGGGGTGTTTTGTGGCTTTTTGGGCGAAGAACACGTTGATTCAGGTCTTCTTCCTCCACATCTGTGTCACTGTCCACTTCCAGGTTCTGACGCTCACTTGGGGGATTTCCAACATCTGGATTTGGGTTCTGTGTCTCTACAGCTCGATCTTTGCGTGGTTTTTTGGCAATTCTATGGATTTTTTTACGCCCAACATCTGGATTCCCTTCATTCTCCTCCACATCTGTATCGCTGTCACCATTGGAGGCCACCGAGCCACGGCTGAGGCCACCAACATCTGGATTCGGTGTCTCCATCACCACAGTTGGGTCTTTCCGGGTGTTTTGGGGTGTTTTGTGGCTTTTTGGGTGAAGAACAAAAAGGTCTTCTTCCTCCACATCCGTGTCACTGTCCACTTCCAGGTTCTGACGCTCACTTGGGGGATTTCCAACATCTGGATTTGGGTTCTGCGTCTCCACAGCTCGATCTTTGCGTGGTTTTTTGGCAATTCTACGGATTTTTTTACGCCCAACATCTGGATTCCCTTCATTCTCCTCCACATCTGTATCGCTGTCACCATTGGAGGCTACTGAGCCACAGCTGAGGCCACCAACATCTGGATTCGGAGTCTCCATCACCACAGTTGGGTCCTTCCGGGTGTTTTGGGGTGTTTTGTGGCTTTTTGGGCGAAGAACACGTTGATTCAGGTCTTCTTCCTCCACATCTGTGTCACTGTCCACTTCCAGGTCCTGACGCTCATTTGGGGCATTTTCAACATCTGATTTTGGGTTCTGCGTCTCCACATCTGGATCTCTGCATTTGGGGGGGGCAATTCTATGGGTTTTTTTACGCCCAACATCTGGATTCCCCTCATTCTCCTCCACGTCTGTATCGCTGTCCACCACAAGGGTCCATTGTTTGTTTTGGGGTGGATCTGGCCTCTCCGTCTCCACGTCTGGGTTTCTGGGTACATTTTGGGTTGCTCCACGGGTTTTTTTACTCCCAACATCTGGATTGGAAATGTCCTCTTCCACATCTGTATCACTCTCCACGAGGAGACTCCAGCGTCCTTCAACATTGCGAACTGTGGTCTCTGTCTTCACATCTGGGCCTCTGGGGGCTCTTCTGGGGCTTTCTGAACACCCAACATCTGGACTGGCAGTGTCCTCCTCCACATCTGTATCACTGTCCACCACAAGCATCTGGTGGCCCTTTTGTGAGTCTTCAACATCTACACGTTGCGTCTCCACCTCAATAATGTTTTGGGTCGTTTGATGGGGTTTAGGGTGTCCAACATCTGGATTGTCTTCATTCTCCTCCACATCTGTGTCACTGTCCACCAGGAGCATCTGATGCCCATTTTGTGAACCTTCAACATCTGCACTGTGGGTCCCCATCTCGCTATTCCAGTTTTTAGACATATTTTGGGTCTTTTGATGGGTTTGGGGGCACCCAACATCTGGACTGGCTCCATTCTCTTCCACATCTGTATCACTGTCCACCACGAGCATCTGGTGTCTGTTTCTGGGCCCTTCAACAGCTGCGTTTGAGCTCTCCATCTCCACATCTGTATCACTGTCCACAACTGTCCGGCATCCATTTTTGGGACCTCCAACATCTGGATGGGAGGTCTCCATCTCCAAGCCTGTTTTTTGGGCCACGTATGGGTCCTTTCTACATATTTTTGGGCACACAGTGTCTGGAAGGACCTCAACCTCCTCCACATCTGTGTCGCTGTCCACCACAATCATCCGACATCGATTTTTGGTACCTCCAACATCTGGATTTGGGCCCCTTTCCTCCACATCTGGGTTATCGCACACCTCCAGGGCAGTCCGGTGACGGTTTGGGTGAAAAAGAGCAGTTTTGGGGGGCACCTTGACATCTGCATCACTCTCAACGTCGAGGGTCTGGTTGCTGCCTGCCAGATGTTTCACATCTGGATGCACAACCTTTTGGGGGTTCAGAGAGTGATTTGGGGGGTGAACATTTGGAAGAGCTATTTTTCTCCCCCCCCCATCTGAATCCGGGGTGGTTCGGGGCCCAATCCGGCGCTTTTTGGGTCCTCTGACATCTGGATCCAGGCAGAGCGCGGCCACATCCGGGCGGTGACCTGGGGCGGGAGGGTGGCGGCGTTTTCGGGTGGGGTGAACATCTGGGCACACATCTGGCTCCTCTGGGCTGCTGCAAGGGGGTGGATGATGTAGGGATTTTGGGGTCCTGAACACACCCCATTGGGGGCTCCCACATCCGGGTCCCACCTACCTCTCCGGGACGACTCGGAGCGAGGCAGCATCTCCGAGGGCAGGGCCTGGGGGGAACGGGGCAGAGATTGTTATTGTAGGGCCTACGATAACTCCAGATGGTCCTATCAGACCCAGGCAGCCGGGCTTGTCCTCCCCCCACCCCATTTTGGGGGTCCTTACAATAACACAAGGCCGGTGGTTCCATAGGTCCTACCGTAACCATCACCCTGTTGTGTTTCTGTAGGTCCTACAATAACAGCGTGTTGTGTGTCCCCCCCAGGGCAGCTCATCGTCATCCTCCGAGTCGCTGCCGAGGGAGACCCTCAGCTTCGGCCCCTGCACTAGAGAGGACCCAGGCGTT